TCCAATTAATTACTCCAAATTCATAAAATAAAATAAATTTAAAATAATTTCTACTTGTTCTATTTAAGTACTATGTATCTCTGATGAATCGGTGACTTACAGGCACAAGGACAGAGATGTTTCAAATAGAAAAGCAGCACAGAGTTGTTAAGTGCATCAAGACTCAGAGTCCCAACGTGTCAACGAGGTTAATATAGGTGATGACTCAATGCGCGAAATGGTCATGGTCACTGACCAAACTCCCTCACACAACAGCCAAGTAAGAAAAGACTGGCACAAAATGGACTTGGTGGTCTGCAAGGTGACACTACCACCATCATTCGATTCGGACAATCCTTTGCCATAAGATGTCCTCTGATATTGGCTTATTGGAGACACATTTTCGCACAGTTGTCCAAATTTCTATTATCCGAAGTATTGAGCATTCCTTTCTTCATGTGATCGGGACAGGCGAACAGTCATAATCCCGTCTTGCACTTTACAGTACTTTCGATGGCATCAACACACTACTAGGTCGCTTAAGAACTCAAAGCAAGCTTGCCTTTCAGGTTCTGGATTTGGAGCTGAAAGGTGAAATCCACGAAAGTGACTTACATTCCCATCTCACACTAGACCAGTTACCTACCTCTCGGCATCTATTCCGTCTTCACTGACTGAGTGACTGACTGACTGACCCAGGCTGAATCCCACACCAACTCAAAGACGACGTTAATACACCTTCCATGCCTTACAGCATCCAATTCTGCATCCACAACCAATCTTTAAATGTAAATTAGTCAATTCCCCCAAACGCCTAAACCTTGTAGCTATAACCCTTATAGATTAGTGAAAGTGCCCACCTCAAGCTAAACTCACCAACTTCGCTCTAAAAGCAAAGTGAATTAAGGTAAAGGAGCTGGAGGTCGGGGGGGGAGAAGGGGGCCAAAGGGAAAAAGGAATCAGAGTGTCTCCCAACCATTCAGGAGAGTTAGAAGTTCAAATTGGAGTTCCTTCAGACTCTCTGTAATGGGGTGGGAGAATCTAGGCACTTGCAGATGTTGCGAGAAGAAGCTCACGTGGAAACTCAGTCTGGCCAATCACATTTGAAAGTTTCGCCAGGGTGAAAGGTGCCAATGTTTATTTTTAGAAAGCATTAGTACTGGTTGGTTTCATTTTAGGTCACATTGGAGAAGAAACTCACAGCAATGTTAAACCCATCCAGGCAGGTTAAGTACTGAAGTATATACCCTGAACCAGACTATCAATTTTAAATTCTTCTGTTTTTCGCTTCGTACCGATGCATTGCGATATCTTGATAAATAAATGTCTAGTATCCTTCCTGGCGTGTAACTATTTTGAGTGTTCGTTTGTGATTGTTTGATATTTGTTTAACTTGAGTACGTATTTACAAGGACTTCACTCTGCTGTGTCTCCCCCTTTGATTCCCACTACGCCTTCATCTTTAGCCATTTGCAGGACGACGAGAGAAGAGGGAGAAGACACTCGCAGACAAGTAGTTATCCTGGAGAGTTGGAGTAAGGTGTTGGCGCTGGCGCTGGTGCTGGTGCTGGTGCTGGTGAATATCGTGAGTGCAGCGAAATTCATGCATGGTGGGCCTTGTGTGTGGGGTAGATGGGTAGAGTTTTCTACTGCTTCCAGAATATCTCCTCTACCTCCACTAAGTTACCCTGCTGAGATCGGTGCCTGTCTTCATTTGAAAATCTCGAATAGGTGTTGCTAGAGACTGACAAAAGAAAGGATACTCGGAATGAAGACAAGGTGAGGGCACTTGGCACCATTGAAATATCTCACCTCATTGCTGTCAATGATGCTGCATGGAGGAGACAGGCTGGTTGGCTTGTTCGTCGATGACATGGATTAATTGCAATAGGAGGATTTGCGGAATGTGAGCCACCAATGAGGAATTAATGTTTTGCAGGCAAATTCCAGGAGTCAAATTGTCGCATTGAGCCCACTCTTCAGTACCTATCAATCCACCGATCCACCTACCTTTCCACTCGTCCATCCATCCATCCATCCATCCATCCAAAGGACCAAATCTATGTGGAAGTTCCTTCATCTCCCTCACCCTGATTCAAGTCCAGTGCGGTAAATTATTTGGTATTCCCCCTCCCTCCCTCAATTGGCATTAAATACACTAAAATTACTCTAAAGTGAGAATTATTTGCTAACTTCAAGTGGTATGTGTGGTTACTGATTAAACATAAGCTCCCAACCATTTAAACCCATTACTTCATTGGATGTCATAGTTTATCTGCGCTTTACAAAGTGGCATTAAGAGAACAGCGTTATGAATCTAAAATGCTTGAATAATAGTTGATGAAATGGTCATTCCCATGGTTTGACAATTGGCACATAGTCAATATTCACCGTAATTGCTATCCTCCAGTCATTCTCGTCAGATTGATCTGCCAAGCAGTTGCATAAGTTCCACCTTTGAATTCGTAGTGGTGCAGATGATGGCAAGTCAGCACATTTTGCTTAATTGTGCATTGTTTTACATTGTAATGTTTTGCCATGCTTTGTGTTAAGCTCTGTGCAATATCGTATCCAACAGGCAGCTTGCATAGGAGCA